TATGAAAATTTAGTGTACTGAGTACTGTCACAGTCTATATTTATAGTATCAATTCGCACAAACCCTGTTTTAACTTTAAAAATTCCCGAAATATTTTAGTATTAATTATTTGTTAATTTAAAGTTCTGTTCATGAAATAGTTATTTTCAATACAAAATGTTTCCAATATGACTTCTCTGTCTTTTATAACAATTATAGAAACCATACAATTGGCTCGAGTTTTGTTTTACGCAAATTGAATAGAAAAACAAATTTTCAAAAGGCTGGGCCACAAAGCCTGCGCTGCGCAGACAAGGGCCCAATCCCTTAAATGTCCGGTTTTGTTGTGTGTAAAATCCGGCACTACGTAGCACCTCCCGGTCGGGGCACGAGGGGAGTTAAGTGTTGCTTATTTCACGGGTCATTCCCGTCCATTTGGTATTCGCCGGCTTTGCGGCCCCCGGGGGCCATTCCCCGCGCAGCGTTCCGGCAAAACGTGTACACAGTATATATAAAACATCATAATATATTATCATACCTACTATGTGTACACACATGAACACGAGAAATCGGACCCTCGTGTGTGCGCACCGCCGTGTAAATCCCGAAATAATTCTAGTGTATTATTATGTGACCGCTAAGTTTCGGATTGTTGTCGCGTGGGCAAGGGAGAGAAAGAATGGGTTCAATTTTGGCATTTTTTTTTTTTTTTTTGTAGCTTTTCCGTGGTACGTTCGTGGTATGTACACACACACATACACGGAAAACCGGCTATAAATCTATTGGCCGGCAAATCCCGGTCGCCACTGTAACACATATATACCTACACACAACAAGCCGTTATGTGTAACGCGCGTGTAGTGTGTCTGACCACGAGGGAAGAAAACGGCGGGCTAAGCCATTGCGTTTTTGGGGTTGCCGCAAAAATCCTCAAGAAATATCAGCTACAACCTTTTCCCCGGCCGCCATTCGGTCACATTTTTATGGTCCCAACAGCTCTCCTCCCGCCCGAAACGGCCACGGGTTTTCATTTTAAATCCCGCAGTCGCCGCCGTTTGCCATAAACAACATGCCGCAGCGGCGCCCGACTAAAATACACAAAAAGAGCTCGCCCGAAAACACACACACACACAATAGCTATTATATGGGCTTAGGTGGCAAATAAACCGTAATTGTTCTATACGTTTGAATTATCTGTGCCAAAGTCATTATAGTTTCATATACCAAATCGCATAAACGCCATCAGCTTACTAATTAATTAATTAGGTTAGGTATCTAAGGAATAGGGATTGCATAACATTTTAATAGACGTTCTACTGACTGGAGTTTAGGTTAGTTTTGGAAAAATTAAAAATAGATACGTTTGATAGCTGTTAGCCATTTGGTTTTAACTTTAACTAAAATTTTAAATTTAATGCTTCCTCGTCTTAGATCTTCGCCTTTCGACTCTGGATGAGAACAAATATGATTTTAGCTGGTAAAAACGCTTTTTCCAAACTTTTAAAGTTTAAAACCGTAAGTACACAAGTATTTCTACTCCTCCTCAAAGTTCTTATAATTTCAGTAGTACAAATATAGTAAAATTACTAAATTTAAAAGATTTATTTTGTGTGACTGTAAAAAATAGCTTAGTTTGATTTTCAGAAAAATAAGTTGTATTATTTTAGTTTTATTTCTTTTTTTTTTAATTTTACAACACACAAAATAATTCATATTTGTTTGTATAAAATATAATTTTAGAATGATTATAAAAAATTGTTTTAGAATTCCATAGGTTTCAATAAGAAATGTAAAAATTGAGTATTGAAGAATTGAATTGTTATATTTTTACAGAAATTTAAAAAAAACAAGATGTTGTATGATTTGACAATTTTAATTTTCTATATTATAGAATATAGCCTATGGACTAATTAATTATATTATCAAGCAATAGTTTGTTCTTATAACGGGACATATATTTTATCCCAATTATTACACATAAAGGCGTTATATTATTTTTGAATAAAGAGGAGAAATAATATTTTCTTTCTAAACATTTTTTATTTTACATTCTAATTGCAAAATGGAAATAAAACGTATATTATTTCTTTAAAACTAGTTTAATTATGTTCTAAAATTGATCTAGATAAAAAGATCTTTATCCTACTTAGATCTTATTGTTTTTTTTTTATCTAAACAGTAAACCACACTGTACATAATTATATGTATAAATTACAATATTTTATATACGTGTATTTGTTATCGATACGTTAGTATCGTATGTTAATCGAAACGTACCTGTCAAAAAAACTTGGTATCTTTTGTTTATTCCTATGGGTACATGATAACACGATAATATTACCCACCTATATATCCGGCACAGCGTCGGGTTTATAATAATTATATTATTAGTTATATGGCAAATTTAAACGACAATGAACTTGTTGTTTGTGTTTATTAAGCAAGAGGGCGAGGGGACGAAACGAAATTGGACAAAAAAAAAAGACCAATATAAAAAGGCTTCCAGATTCCATTTGTCATCCCGTCGGTTCTGCGGCTACAGCGCGTAATATACTAATATACACAATATGCGTGCCAGGGGAAGAGAGATTTTTACGATCCGTGAAAAGACTCGGCGGCGCTCGCAGTGATTGAAGTCCGGTGTGAGTGTGTGCGTATGCGTATGTATATACTTGTACATGACTTGGTTACTGCGGGTGTGGGGTCCGGGGCGGAGGGTGAAGTTTATTGGTTTATGAATTTTGTATTACGCGTCGCCCGACCGTAATATGTACGGCGCACGAATCCAACAAGTCGCGCGCGCGTGTGTATGTGCGTTAGCTTTACAACAAAGCGAAGTGGGAAACTGAGAGGGAGGGGGTGGCGCAGACGCGCGTTATAATAATGTACTGTATACGGCCGCCGCCGCCGACAAACAGACGAACAAACGGTATGATTTCACCATTAGCGGATTAATGGACGTGTACACACCGCGTGCGGCGGGTGCAGCGATTTATTACAAACGTATCGGGCCCCCGGGTGTCGACACCCGCGGTCGGCCCGTGACCCGCGCGGTGTTGGTAAGGGCGAGGGCCGGCCGAGTAAATTGAACGCTAAATTACCTAAACGCGAGGGCCTGCGAACGTAATGATACATTGTAATAATAATATGTACTTTTTTGGCCGCGGAAAGGCGGCAAGGATAGCTGACCTTACACGTATAAAATTAAATAATTTATATAAATACATTTTACAAAAAAAATCTTGTTTGGAATAACTAATAGTTTTTTTTTTTGAAAATAATACATTGATAATTTATTTTATTTTATTGATATTATGTAACATAAAATTGGTCACCAAAAATGATAATATTTCATATCATTTAAAACACTATATTTTGTTATTATTATTTGTTTGTGTTTTTAATTTCTTATTTATAGGTACATAGTTACTTTTTAAATTTAAAAAAAAATTAGTTTTTTTATACGTTTTTGGATAATTTCAATTACTAATACTTTTTCCAATTTCCTAGAAAATCACGTTTTTCTTAGTTTTTTAGCTTCGATGTTTTATTTAAGACACTTGTTGTAGGTAATAATACTGCCAGGTTTTTAAAATCAGCCTAATATTTTATTTATGTGCAATAATAGGGTCGGCTTAATGTTTTGTGAATGTTAGCGATACGTTCTGATGTTGAAATAAAAACAGATAAATTCTCAAAAATTGGCTTAAAAATGGAAAAAATTGAACTGCGTTTTCAAAATATTTTTAGTATAAGCAACAACCAAACATTTTATAGCTGACCAATGTACAGTTAAGTCTATTTTGTCAAAATGTTGTTGTCTACATATTAGACTTTAAAGTACCAATCTATCCAGTAACTATTATCAAATTGGGAAATAAAATCAAAGTTAAAAAAATTACCATTTTTATATAGGTATCAAGTACGCATAAAAAGGTCCTTAAAACATATTAGTAAAAACTTTAATACTAACGTAGCTATTTATTATAGACGTGTATCGTATGCACATTTTGCTTAAAAAACGTTGTACAATTTCGCATTTAGGTAAGTTTACATTTTGTCTTGTGTTCGACTTAATATTATTTTTACTTACTACTATTGTTTATGAGGTTGCGCTACAAACTCGGCTGGGTAACGCTATTCCTCTGTGCGCACCCTCGCGTTTACCATAGTACAATATGTAGACGATTTGCATGTAATACATGATATTTTCGCTTTATAAGCACACATTATACATGTAGGGGTGAAAAAAATTAACTTCCCTGTCGTCAGAAGACATGAATAAATTGGTTTTCATTCGGTAATCCCCAGGTCAGCCGGATTACGGGATTATCAGATACCACCCCACGGTTTTTATTACTTTTCAGACGAATGTGGGGGTGTGCTAGTATTTGATATATTATTATTTCAGTGAGAAATTATACCTACCTAAAACTCAAATATTGCTTGTATTTTTTTTATATTTAACAGACATACGTGCACAACATGCTATTTACTTTAACAGTATTATAGTTAAATGTTAAAACCTTTGCATACACTTTATTGTTAATATAGCGGTTTATTATTGTAGTAGAAACGATACAAACCCCAAAAAAATAATTTAATTATTCATTTTTTAGACGTCTAGTAATTTTCATAGTACATAATAAATATATATTACACTATAATGGTCATTTGCATTAACTTCGCTTAACATTTAAGTACAGTTCGCAGTGCTGTTAAACAATCTTAAATTTCAAGTATAGTAGGTGTTAACGACCATTAATAGTTTGAATATATTTGCTAATTTATTGTTTTTTAATCAGTATTATAATTTAGACTATAGATAATTCTTGATCTGTAAATTAATAGTGAAAACATATTTTGTAACACGCGTGTCGCCATTGTATTTACACAATATTGTTTTGTTCGCCCCAAAGACTAGAAAAATGTTGAGCTCGTATTAAAATGATCAGTACAATATTTAATACTAATATCAGCAGGTTTTTCCAAAAATATTACATTTTGAAAATTTGTTGCAGGTTTGGTTTCAAAACAGACGTGCCAAATGGAAAAAGCGCAAGAAATCTACAAACGTTTTCCGAACGCCCGGAGCCCTGTTGCCTTCTCACGGTTTACCGCCCTTTGGAACTATGAGCGATAGCTTATGTCCAACATCAATGTTCAGCTCTCCGGACACGAGATGGGGCGTTACAGGCATGACAACTGGTACGATAGATAAAACTATATCCTTATTAATTAAATATAGGTTTTCACTTAGTCAATAGTCGATTGATGCTCTCTGTTGAGCAACTCTAGAGCAAACTATTGCGGTTTTCAGTTCTTACTTTATCATACCAAAATTATTAACAAAAAGTCTAATTTAATATTACAAATTTCGGTGTTCGCGATTAAAGTAAATTACTTCCGTGATATAAAACATTATGCATCACTTCTAACCATAGAATAAAAGCTGTAACATCGTACGCCCTGTACTCAGAAACGAAGTAATTAAGAAGGCGAGTGACAGTGTGACACTTTTTTTATAAATTGTTAAACACTGCGCAGTATTATTCTTATTAAATGTACAGATCTTAGATGATTTACAATGGATAGAGCACCTGCCTATCTTAGCTGGGGAACACGTTGTGTATAGCATCGAACCGAACCGAATGATCGAATAAACATACATGCGTAGTACATTTCCACAACACTACACCGCATGCGCAATTGATCAAATGTATGTTGATCGGCCATTGACTCTAAGATGTTGGACACAGAGCTATCGCTATGTATGTTCTATCCATTGTATATGATCTAAGGTACAGTTCAAAAGATAAATTCAAATTTCACATGATAATAATATAATTGATAAGGCATATGTTTTGTATCACATTGTCTATAAATATGTACCAAAGAAATGTAATTTCGTCATTTTGGTCACACTGCAGCTCGACTTTTCTCTTACTTTATAATATTTACTTATTGCAACCCTCTGCTTCTAACGTCGAAAATACACCACTACATTGAATTATTCAATTATTGCGTCCAGTGGCCTAAATTATGCCAATTTATTAGGCCGCTTAATAAAATATGTACACACACAAACATTCATGTATTAAAAAAAACGTATTTCTAGGGCTAAGTCAGTTAGCCAGCGGTACGGTTACCATGAGCGGATACAGTCACCAGAATTCCACGCTCAGCTCTGTGCCGATCACCACAATGGCCACCAACACCCAAAACATGTATCAGGCCCATTACGGTCTAAATTCATTAGGTAAGCTAATATACTATTTATGATTGCGTAGTTATAAAATAGTTAAATTTATTTAAGGTCTTTTCGACCTTTGTGAGGTTTTTACTCGACGTTATACTAAAGAACTTAAAAAAAAAAAATGATCACCATCAGCTACTCAAAAATATAAACAATTAAATAAATCAAGCACCGCGTATGGAAATATTTTGTTTGTTTAGTAGAAAGCTTAGGGTAGCCACTCGTTTTTTAAGATATGAAATTGATATTAAGAAATATGCTTCGGTACAGAAATACGTATCTGTGAGTATTATTCGAATAATGTTAAGTAAACAATAGTGTTGAAAGTGTTATTGAAATTTAATGAAAACCTTTACGCCTACTACTAATTAACTCAACCCTATACACGGCCTATACAGGTTAATTGATGGTAAACTTTAGGACTAGCATACTATTCTGAAGTGAAGAGACAATTTAACTTTTGGAACTGAAAAAAAAGTAAATAATATTAAATTCATGGTAATGAGAATACAAATTGTTAAACGGCATAATAATACTAACACTATTATTACTTCTAGTAATAGTAGGTACTTCTACAGTTAACATTTTCTATCAACTTATAAGAGCCGATTAGTTTGATCATCGTGTGTAATCGCAATGAATTGTTTCCAACATTTTACTCTAATCTCGCTTTGAATATTTTATGTTCATTTATTATTACAGCTATGGTCTTTTTATTTTTATTCTGATGGCACATGTCGGTAGGGTTTTTTGTATAACATAAATCCTAGACGCTCGTTAACATGTGTACGGCATTCAGAATTCTGTACAGAAAACAAATAACATGAGCATATAATTGTAACGACTATAACAAAAAATAATAACGTGTTAATCTATTTACTTGAAAAAGTTTGTACCCTTTGTTCTAACTACTAATTGGCATATCGCGTTCATTACCGCTTGTACCTAGTCAATGAGCTCAAACATTATTATGAAACAAGTTATAATAAATTGGTCGGCAATTAACCCTTAACTATACAACTCACCCACGAACCTTCAGTGAACATGATGTTTAATAGTTATAATTAAGTATAATCTACTTAGATTAGACAAATATGACGGTTAAAACTTAAAACTTTTCTAATTGTTTACTTACTTATATTGATATTAGTGTCCAGTGTTACCCGAAGTAACCGTACTGTGCCACAGCGTACCCAAATTTTTAAACTAGGAATACTACGAATCGAGTAACATACATTTGTTAGAGATGTTTATTATACACTTACCACAATGCATTTTAAACATCACTGGTAGTCTATTAGGCACACAACGAAAAAAAATCAAAATCAATAATAATTATTTTAATCAACATTATGTTGTTTGTCATTTTGTTGGGACCTAATAAAATTGAAAAAACAAAGATTTTCAGACGACACGTTTTTACTCGTAGGTAGTGAAAACTGAATAGTTTCAATAGTTCAAGTTTAAAGGCAATAAAGATATTGATGGTGTGGGAAGGGGTGGGGTCAGGTATAAACATTTAAAATATGGACCACCCCAATGGTCACTGATACATTCAATAATAGATGACACATTGAAACATTGAAAAGTGTGAATTTAACTGCTAAATATATCTATTTCTGTAAGTTCAAATATTACCTAGATGTATTACGCGAGATTGGCTAAGCGCAAACGCTGCTTCAGCTACACATGCCACACTACCGTTAAAAACATTTTCGGTCATATATTATTATTATTATTATTACACTAGGTGGGCTGAAGGTGCCTGTAATAAAACGCGTTTCGACATTTTTATACACATGCTCGTGCATTTGACCGGCCGCTAACCATACACCGCGTGTGTTGACACGAATATTTTAACACTCATGTGTTAAGTAATTAAAAATAAAAATAAATACAATAACGCATTCCCTTCCGGACGCAATTCGTGAATGATGTCCATTTTATTTGTTTTAAAAGTGAAACGAATGTGTGTTGGCAGACCACGCAGTACCTATGGTTAAACCTGAAGTCGTTTCTGGCGGGAGAAGTTATAGTGAGTTTTTGTTTAACGATGCAAGAAGGATAATAATTTTATATAGGATATCTGTCGTTTGATGTAGAAGCGACAAACACAAAATATTATATATTTAGTAAAAAAAAGCTAGTAATATAAATACTTTTGAATTGTATAGTCGACGATAACCAACGGTTAGAGTTAAAGCGATTAGATGTAAAATTTAAAAAATTTATTAGCATTCTCAAAATTATGAGTAGGTATTAATAAAAAAGTTATCATTCCTCAAGTACCAAAAAAAAAAACACACCATTGTAAAACCAATACCTTCTTAGCTTCGTGTCGAAGCTCAAAAATATAGTTTTCTGTGCTGTAGTCTAACAAAACAATAATTATAACAAGGTATTCGAATAAAACCGTTTATACAAGGTGTGTACAATAAGTGTGCAATGTCACAAATTACATTTCAATAACCAAACTTGTATTAAATTCCCGCAATAGTGAAATATCTAATAAAAATAAAAATTTAAAAAATAATATTTGACGACTGTGATTTCCAATAATATTTTTTATCATTATGTTATTTAGAAAAATGTAATCGATAAGTTAAAAATTCATATTAAATCAGTATAATAAGTAATAACACATGATTTAATTTATGCATTTTAATTCGGTGAATACCATTTTGTTTTTTTAACTATCAGGCACGCGCATTGAAATTTGAATCTGAAATTATTATTTATGTGTCTTATAATTATAGGCGATTCGGACAAATGGCGTTTTTCAAAAGAACAATTCAAACCTTATTCGGCAGATCCTCAATTTTTTTGAATGAAAAAATATATCATGCGCATGTAAGTAAATCTAAATATTTCACATTATACACCTAAACATGATAGTTGCAATCAAAATAATTGGTATTTAATATAAAATATATAACTGAACCGTTTAAAAGTAAACCCTATACAATTCCATCTTTTCGTTGTGCTCTTAATTTTAGAGAATGTATACAAATCGCGTACAACAGTAGATACCCATCAGCCTAACTCATTAAATAAGTAAATTATACAAAATTTATTTTTCTCATTTAATAAGACGCATCTTAAGTCATCAGTTGGTTTATTTTGAAAAACAATTTGTATAATTAAATGACCGTACGGAAATAATTATACTGTATTTTGGATAAAGGTTTTAGGTACTTAAGTTTTTAAGATGTCAGAATCCCGAATCTTTTTGATGAAATATTTTGTCCGTAATTTGTATGGTTCTGGATTGTTTAGTTATTCCTATACTTAACTGATAAATTGATTTTTGTTTTTCAGACCATATGTTTTAGTCACACGATCAGCAGCCACACAGTTGTACTAGTAATTCGTCGGTTCCAACAAATTCGGAAGTCACGGAGACAATTTAATTTATTTGTATATTAATTTATATTTGATATCATATGTATATATATATATATATATATATACCTATTGGCTATTATATACGTATGATTATTAATTATTATGAGGATGATATGTAATTTATAAATGTATCCATAATATATTATTATATTATATTCGTTTTTCGAAGACTGTAAATATTGTAACGGTATACGATTGGTTCGTCTAAGTGCGCTATACATCCTTTATTCGGCATTTTTCGTTTTTTAAATATTATGTGGTTGCTCAATATAAGAAAATGTATAAAAAAATATTTTCAACAAATTTGAAAGGTTTGAGGAATTAGTACTTTTAAATTTATTACTGTTTTCCTTCGAAAGTACAGTTTTGATTCGCAGTAACACGAGTAACGAGTTACCTACTTTAAAATAACCCGTTTAAAAAAAACTTTACCTAGTTGATCAAAAAATGTCTACAAGAAATATTTCCTCACTTTCCAAATTAAAAAGAGCTACTATCTTTTTTTTAGAGGGGCTAAATATATAACTGAGTTTAGTATCCTTTGACTACCCCATCGGCCACCACAATGCGTCTTAGGGCATTGAACGACAATAACGCATTATCAAAACATTAATTATTATTTACACTCTTAATATCATGCCTTTTTTTTAATTGTTATAATTTTTATTTTATTTTTTACGAAATGTTGTGAGTTAACGGTAAAACTAAAAACGCAATATACCATAGCATACCTAATATAGTCTTACCTCTCCTCCCCCCCTCATGTATGCGTTTTTAGTATTGTATGAATATAATATGTATCGAATGCCCTATATTGTACTTATGTAAAAATATCATTGCTTTAGTCAGAGGCGGACAATATACCCACCTTAAGTTTATAACGGTCTAGAGTACTAAAATATCTCCCAGACTTCCTTGACCAATCCGCCTCTGGCTTTAGTGTCATACACACACATTATAATATTATGAATAAGAATATTACCTATATAAAATAACCTTTTGAAGAATTTTTATTAAGTATATCCGCCTACTAAATTATTTATTAATTATTAAGAAATGGTGTTTTTTTTTTCGAGTACATAGGTAATATTATATAAGAATTAATAAGGTACCCAACGTTGTTGGTTCGATATGACTTTTGTCTAATATTTATTATAACTGTGTTGAATTTAAAAAAAAAATGATCAACAAAAGACAAAATTATGCATTTTATTTTTAATAGTAAAATTAAGGCACTGGTGCCGAATTACGGTAATAAATAAGAATGGCCACCTAGAGTGATCGGACTTAAAAAAAAAAAGGTTAAATACTACAGATTGTTTTTATCATTATTGGCAACTTTGAACTTAATGAAAGAAAATCTCAAGTCGACGCGTTCTTTGAAAACTTCAGACGTTTTAAAATATGGTCTAAAATAGATATAATATATAAATATCATTTACACAATTTTATTTCAGAAATCTAGTATTAATTTAATAGTAATATTTTAATAATATTTAATTTAACATAAAACAAATTGAAACTATCAAGATTTAATTAAATAATTGATGTTGACTGGTCCTCCATAAGGTAACCATTAACTACCACCATACAATATATACATGCACTCGTTAAATTTTGCAAATAGTGTAAGAAAGTCTCCTGCTTTTCCTTACATAAAGGAAATAAAATATTTAATACAACCAGTCTGTGTAAATTCATTTTAGATTCGGGTCAATTATGTATAATTTTCTATAGAAAATATTTAAAAGCTACAATTGAAATATTAACAATATTTTTTTTTTCGATAAGCAAATGATCAGTCGCAGCTTGCGTTATGATGGCTGATTTGGTATTTAAAAATAATTTAGATTAAAGCAAATTTGAATCAGTATCAAACAAATTACTTTCTCAGATCATTTTAAAAAAAATATGTTACTTTACTAAAGGAGGATTGCATATGTCTGTTTTCTTGCTGTTTTAGAACAAAAAGCCAAAATTTCGACCAAAGAACTCGAATCTTTTTACAAAATTGAAATTGTACCATATCCTATGTAGTTGAAATTTTGTCTGGCTTTTTGGTCTAAAATAAACTAAAATAGCTTTTATTCATAGAGGCAATTATTTAAATTAAAAATAATACCTTGAAGCTTATACAAATTAAACAGTAAATTAATTGACAGGGTCGAAATTTATTAAAACCTCTTTTTTTCTTAAATATTGCCTACGCAAAACTCCTTAAAAGCAGTCTGCATGCAATCCCCTTAATATTTATTACGCTTAACATAAGCACATAAAAAAATTACTACTTATTATAAATAATTAAAATACAAACATTTTTTTTTTTTTATATTTTAAAACTTAACTTTTAAAACTCTAATAAAATTTTAGAAATTATATATACATATATAATTAATTTTTAAATTAAAATGTCTAAGCGAGCTAGTTGAAAAAGTACTCAATGCTTAATTATAAATAAATATAAAAATCAAAAATAATGATCTATCACGCAGGCTTGAATTTTTTTTCTGGAGGTGGCCTCATAGGTGGAGATAAAGAATTGGTAGTTGAAAATTCTTGTTTTACATTAACGTCTTGTACATTTTCTTGTTTTATTTCTTTTTTCACTTCTACTTTATTTACATCACCTGTAATAGTGTAATTTTAATTAACATTTTTACTAATAATGAATATCTTAGTTTAAAATTGGATAGAATTAATTTCATTTATTAAAGTCAGTCATAACAAATTGATTAAACTCTATTGTGTATCTGAAAAAATGACTACATTATATGTTATTGGTAAATAATTCTAATTACAACAATATGTTATAGTTATATTAAAATAAAAATGTTACCTCGACGCCCACTATGAAAACTAATACGTTTTGTTTGCCTTAAGAAAAGTAGTATATTTTAGCTTCATTAAAAACTCAAGTTAAGTAATAAGTTTAGCTCAACTTATTTGTGTGTTTGGAAAAAATGTATTAATAAATTAAAGTTTTAATAATATTTTAACAAATATTTTGGAACATTAACCCAATCAGTCAGAAATATGTTTATGAAGTTTATGAAGAAAAAAAATTCAAATTTTATTTACCATTATCCAAATTAAAAAATATTTATGTATGGGTAAACAATTGGTATGCCAGTACTATTAATAACCGCAAAAAAAAACTAAAGCTTTTCTCCCTGAGACCATTATTATTTGCATAAGTATTATCGATATCTCACATAATTTTTGAAATATTTCTATATATTATAATTTAAGATAATAATTTTAAATAATTCTTTATTATATGTGATATTTGTATACTAAATTGTAAATATTATAGTTGATAGTAACATCTGCAAGCATACAGGTAACACTTATTTATATTTTACTTTATCGAATATTCTCAAAAAATAAATGCAAACGCGTTAGTTTATTTTGGCATAATACTTTTAAATTAAAACGAATGAAATTCAAACTAAATAATATGAATAATTATTGTTGGAATGATTTATAGGTACTATTTTTGTTTTTAATAAATATAATCTTTATTGTAAGCTAAAGAAGAAGAATTAAGAAATAAAAGAAAATATTTACCCATTGGTGGGTTAGGTATATTTGCATTATTTGATGGTGCCGGTGCAAGTGCTTGAGGTAATGGCAAGGGAAATTTTCTAGTTAACTCAACCAATAACATATCCACTCTCAGCCTTTGGAATTGGGAACTTGTTTCTTCGACGTCTCTTTTGCCAGAAGCTTTTACCGGAGACGGCGGAGGAGCAGTAACTGCACTAGTCCCAGGTCTACGGTTTTCCCAAGAATAACCCTTTGACGGATGAAACCTAGCCAATGAATTTAGTTCTTCAAAAGCAGTTTCTAAATGATATGCAGATGACATCTAAACATGTGAAGATACAAGATATTTATGTATAGTTTTATAATAGTACATTTGACTATGTTGAACGAACTAAAAATTACACATTCACTCACCATATGAGAGTTAATGAATGACATGAGATCTGGAGCTTGATATACTGTTCCGGCAATAATATAATAATCAGCAATAGGTATAGAATGAGTCGGAGAATGTCTATGCTGTTTGCGTACAACATACAAAATTGGCTCTTGTACGTGAAGAAGACAATATTCTAACCCGACCATATTGCTGAAAATATATTTAAATAACCTTAATTTGACACCAAGTAAGACTTTAAGAGCAGCAAAATTAGTTATATATAAAAAAAAAAATAAACAAAAGTTAATAAAAAATGCCTAAATCTTACCTTAAATTATCCATACTAAGCCGCTGCATTTTAATTGCTTCATTGTTGCAACTTCGATCGTAAAAAGGATTACTTCGTTCAGAAAAATAGTCCAAGACATTGTTGGAATTCAATATTGGAATCCAGTTGGTGTCATGCCACGATACGCCCAAAGGGTTATCTTCAACAAACATCGTGAAGGAAATGTATTAAATACAATACAATTTAACTAGGTGGAACACAAGTCGAAAAACTAAACTCATTATAAATACCTGGCAAACAACCTACTCCTCTTCCTGGTAGCATTATATCGAAATATACAAATATCAATCTACTATTTATACATAAAGAATCGGCACAAAAATTGACTCTGAGACGTGAGTCCACAAATTTTCCTTTTAACTAAACAATAAACATTTTTAATTTTTACTATTAAATTTTATCTTCTAATTTCAATTTTTAGAAAAGAGTGGCGACTGCCGTCTATCAAGTATCAACAATTTAGAACGTGTATGAAGTTAGCTGCCATAAATGGGCCAGCAATATTTTGATAACAGAAAGTGTCTTGGCGTTGGTGTATGTTGTGCCGCCAATACCGTATTATTCTAAGGGGTAGCACATATTATACTCTCATTGCACTTATAAAAAATATATAATATAATATTATATAAGTATGTATGTATAATTATTTTCCTGTAACAGTTGCAGATGCAAAGCATACTTGATATTTATATCATGACAATATCATTAATGTATACATAAAAATTAAATCTGTTAATTAAAATATAAAATAATTATTGACAAAACAATAACTAGTTACTAGAGTATATTTAACCGACCGCCGTGACGGTTAAGAGGACGCCACACCGCCCATTTTTAAGGAGTAAAGCAGTTTTTTTACAAAATCTTAACTTAAAGATTAAACTGTGATGTGTAACTATGAGTTCAGTAGTTAGGACTCTTTTTTAGTAGTTAAATTATTTTTCGGACTATCACAGCATCCTTGACAGCGATTTTAAAAAAAAAGTTTTTTAGCCGAGTCTGCAACCACGAAAGAGCACTTTCATGTCTCGTTGAAGTATCGAATAAATTTAGAGTAGTGGTGGAATTATAGATAATGAACTAGTATATTAACAAGCTAGTATCTAAGGTGGCTAGTAAACATATCAAGTTTCTGGCTTATATTTTAGTGATTTCATAATATCTGGCATTAAACAATTCATAGGAAATATGACCTGTTAAATTACATTGAATTTATTTTTCAGTCATAATTTGATCGTTGTGAACACAACATATCTCTCACCCCAATCTATCTAAAAATAGGCAACAATTTATGTATTTGTAAGACATAATTCATTAAATTATTATAAAGTTGTATGCAAGTAACTTTATTTTTGGGAAAATGTAATAAAATATAATACATTTAACACTTGTTTAAAACTATTTATCCTCAATACTAGAAATATGTTTTTATGTATTTTATTTGAATTATTTAATTTTTGTCTGAATTATGTGAGTCAAATATTGATTTCGTTTAATTTATATTTTTTATCACTCATTAAATCTTTTTTTATTCCAAGCAGTTAATCGAATCTGTTTGAATCGCCTTTGTCATTTATAAAAATGTTTTGATTACACTATATTATGTTACGTATAATTTTGTACTTTAATACAGGCCTATGTGCACAAATGAATTACAATGTATTTTTGCATTTCATTTTTTAAATAAATATGTACATATTTTGTTTTCTTTTACTAGAATGTAATGGGTTAAGGCAGTTGGGTACCGGCCAATTTTAAGGAGTTTTGTATAAACAATATTTAAGAAAAAAGTGGTTTTAATAAATTTTGATCGTGTCAATTAATTAACCGATTAATTTGAATAAGCTTCATGGTGTTATTCTTAATTTAAATCATTTTGTCTATAAATAAAAGCCATTTTAGTTAATATAATATACATTTTTTGTTCCATCGCAAAGGCTGAACAAGTGATTCGATAAGTAATCTGAAAACAGATTTAAATTCGTCATGAAGTCTACTTGAGATCGGTCTGAGTACTTTTTTGATATCTTATTCCTTCTATGTATAAACAACGTTTGAACATTATATAAAATTCCAAATTTTAAAATGAAATTTGGAAAGGGTTAAAATAAAAAAATTGAAAAAATATTCCGACCGATCTCGGGTAGACTTCATGCCAAATTCAAATCTGTTTTCAGAAGTCTTAACGCTTCAATACAATGATCGGACCGATTGAAGTTAAATGGGTAGTTTTTGACGGAAAACTTGGCCGGTACCCAAAGCTTAAATAAATAATAATAATAATAATAATAATTTAATATATGATTTTAAAACGAATTATATGATTAGCCAATCGTAATCAAGGCTATATTTTAGTGAAGGTATTTGGTATTTGGATGTTGTTAGTTACATATCATAATTTTTTTTTTTTTATTAATAATATTTTATTATAGTAATAATATGATACTCCGTATTATTTGAATGGATAGGTAGCACAACATACACCAACGCCATGACACATTCAGTTATCAAAATATAGCTGGCCCGTTAATGACTAACTTCATACACGTCAATATTTAGATCATGATAAAATAAAAAACAATGAATCCGATATATATATATATGTATGTCTTTATTCCGGCAAAATGGCAACACTGGTCGCCACCATAGATAATAGTGTTTTAAGGTTAGAACAGTAAAATGACTCAGTGATATCAGAAAATCAACAATCATCCAAAAAAATATTATTGTCTTCAGAGTTCAGTCTTCACTCTTCACAATATATTTCGTAGTGTCGTTTTAAATAGCCATAAGACGTAATCGTACTTTTATTTTATTTAAAAAAATAGACCAAACAATCACAATGACTGAAGAAGGAACTAGTAAAACTTTGGAAGATCCTTCAGTCTGGGAAGACACTGTAAGTATTTGTTTTGGCGTTTTTCGTGAGTTATTTATCATTATAAAATTGCATATTAATAGGATCGAGTGGACGAAGAAATACTTCTCATGTCCAATGAAGAAATCACGTCTCGTACACGCCTGCTCGAAAATGATATTAAAGTAATGAAGAGCGATGTGATGCGTATATCTCACGAATTACAGTCACAGACCGACAAGATTAAAGAAAATACAGAAAAAATAAAAGTCAACAAAACTTTACCTTATTTGGTATCAAATGTTATCGAGTTGTTAGATGTGGACCCTCAAGACACAGAAGAAGATGGTGCGGTTGTGGATTTAGACAGTCAGCGAAAAGGAAAATGCGCCGTCATTAAGACGTCCACCAGACAAGTAAATGGGTGTTTATATTCTATAGTACTATCATATTTTATACAGTTAAAAAAAACAACTTGATTTGTTATTACATATTTTTTCTTAAAATGTTGATAGACCCTAAAAAGAGCATTACAGATATAGTAACTTTTTCCATTCCTGTAATGTGTTTCTGACTCAAGGTGAGATTAAAGTGTACTAATGACGGTTATGGGTGTAAAGAGTAAATAATGTAAAATAATAGATGGTTCGATAATATTAAGATTAATATATTTTAGTTACATTAAAAACTTAGTTAAATTGATTTATTATAAGGTTTAACATAAGTTCATTTCAAACGTCAATTTTTATTTTTTTTAGAAAAAAGTTAAAAGTATAAGTTTTACATTTTTTAAATAAAATCTGTGTAAAATTTGTCCCTTGATTAAAAAAAGATTTAAGTTTTAACATTTAATTAAGGTTATGGACTTTTTCATAACTATTTAATTATAGATTAACAAAAACTGAAGTATGCAATTCTACATTTTTAAGAAAATTATATCACTCAAATTAGTAATTACTTAAAAATTATGTTTTTATTTTGCATCTATTGTTGTTATATTTGATTAATTTTGTATTTTTATCACTTTTTTAGACTTATTTTCTCCCAGTTATTGGTCTTGTGGATCCAGAACAGTTAAAACCTGGTGATCTGGTTGGTGTAAACAAAGATTCGTATCTCGTTTTAGAGACCTTACCAGCTGAGTACGATGCTCGTGTTAAAGCAATGGAAGTTGACGAGAGACCGACTGAACAATATGTAGATATTGGTGGATTAGATAAACAAATTCAAGAAGTAATATTAAATATTAATTTTTTTGTATGTTCATATATTTGATAATTGATTACTTTAATTCAAATTTTAGCTCATAGAAGCCGTAGTATTACCCATGACTCACAAGGAAAAATTCCTTAACCTGGGTATTCAACCCCCAAAAGGAGTACTACTATACGGACCTCCCGGTACCGGAAAAACTCTCTTGGCTCGTGCTTGTGCTGCTCAGACCAAATCAACGTTTTTAAAACTCGCCGGTCCGCAGTTGGTACAAATGTTTATCGGGGATGGTGCAAAACTTGTGCGTGATGCATTCGCTCTCGCCAAAGAAAAAGCACCTGCAGTTATATTTATCGACGAATTGGATGCTATCGGTACTAAGCGTTTCGACTCTGAAAAAGCCGGAGATCGAGAAGTGCAAAGAACCATGTTAGAGCTGCTCAACCAGCTGGATGGATTCAGTTCGACCGCTGATATTAAAGTGATTGCGGCCACTAACAGAGTGGATATTTTGGATCCAGCGTTGTTGAGGTCTGGAAGATTAGATAGGAAAATCGAGTTCCCGCATCCCAACCAAGAAGCAAGAGCCAGGATTATGCAAATTCATTCACGAAAAATGAATAAATTTGATGTGAATTTCGAAGAACTTTCCAGATCAACTGATGACTTCAATGGAGCGCAGTGCAAAGCCGTTTGTGTAGAAGCTGTGAGTATCTTAAACTTGCATAGTAGTTTTAACAATAGTTAAGATGACATTAATGTTTATCTCAATATTTTAGGGTATGATCGCTTTAAGACGAGGTGCGTCTACTGTAACTCATGAAGATTTTATGGATGCTATTATGGAAGTTCAAGCAAAGAAGAAGTCAAACTTGAACTACTACGCTTGAATATCCTCTATTTTAATTGTTTTTATGAGATTTTTTTGTATTTTTTTTTTTTCAATTTCTCCAAGAAACATATTTATTTTCTTTAAAATTGTTTATTATACATTTGCTAGCAATTTATAAAATAAAATTTATGAAATTAATACTATCTTAATATAGTGTTATAATTCAAGTTAAACTTATGTAATACATTGTTAAGTTATTAAATTAATTTGATAGTAGAGTAAAATAGATAAACAGCAATCAGATAGTGAAAATTCACTTTTTCTTTTGTGGGTCACTGATACTTTAGATTGTTATTATTTTTATGACAAGACACCTAAAAGAATAAGACCATGATTTTTTTCTGAAAATATTTAAGACCACAGCCTACTTGCTGATGAACATCAGATAATCTATAATAATTTATATATTATTTTAATTTTACGAAATATCAAACACAAAAAAAAGATATATTAAATGTTGTCAATGATCCCACCTATGTATTTTGTATCCAATTAATGTATAATAGCGTAGGCCAAAAAAATAAATGTTTGGTCTTTCAAAATAATAAAAACCAAATAATGTAGGCACTGTTTTGTAATAGACAAGGATACTAATATGTTGTTTTACATGTGTAGATAAAAACAATTAAAAAATTTAAGTGTTTATTATTTATGATTACATCAGTTAAAAGTCAACCATTTTCTATGAAGGAACTATAATAAAGGACTTGTGACGGAATTCAAAAATTTTAGTTCTGAAATTTTCAAGAATTGTTTATTTTTTTTGTTTTAATAACATGAGTAAATTTGTGAACATATACTCGATAGGTATAATTTAATTCAGATAATGGCTGAAATGGCCTTTTATACATCGTCTTCTATGCATACAGCATAGATGCTTTAGGCTTTTATTTGTCGTAGGTAGCGAATTTTTGGAAGGGCTACCTATTCATGTTAAGGAGGCAGAGGAAGTCAAAAATAAGTTAAGGGACTACTCCTTAAAGTATATTATTTTTAAATTACACAATTATTTAGTGTGTACTTATTGGTTAATTGACGGTAATTATAGGTGTACCTAAGTACATTGTTTTCCATATAGGTATGTAAAACCGAAAACGTACTAAAAATAAAATGATTTAAAACAAATGTTTTTATGTGTATTTTTGAAAATTAGATCATTTTATTATTATTATTATTTTTTTTAAAATTTAATTTGTTAAAAATAATTGATTAAAATCAAACAGTTAAACAACTTGGTGGAGTAAAGTAATAAATGCACTTTGTTTAGGACAAACAATTAAAAATTATTTTTCCCATTTACTACAATGGATGGGAAAAATAAGTTTTAAAATATCTTTATGAATAATAGTTCAATTTGATTCTTTGTTGCACCAAAATGTAGATGACCCATTTTTTTCGAGACCAACCACGTTTTTTTAGTTTAGGAAAATATTTAATTGTTGGCTTAAGGTACTCAGCAAGAGTATATTTTATTCTTATTTTGTATAGGTACTTTATTTCATAAATTACAAATACAAATAAAATAAAACTATAGTATTTTTGAAATATTTTAACCTACTAATAAATGTTTAAAAAATATTTTCTTCATCCTAGAAAAAAATTATAAATTATAATATTTAGGAATTATTATGATAAAGTTGTAACCGTGTACGGTTATTGTATTACAAAGTAATTAAAGAAACTATTTTTTTTTTTTTTTAATAATTAGAAAATAGCAGTTTACTACCTATACTTTTTTCAATTTTTAATTTTGTTTCAACTTTTTTTACATTATTTTGAAGATAAAAGTATACTAGGTAGATTCTGGATTCATAAATAAAATAGCCAGGCTTAAACAAAAAAAACAATTTTATAATTCTCATTTTAGAATGTAATATAAATAATAATGATTGTCAAATGCTACAGCCGTGGAACATTCGAGAATCCGAGAATCGAGAATGTTCTATTGCCCTACTCGTGGAGTCGGTGGACTGGCGGTGAAGGGAAGACGGCGTCGACGCTGCTCGAACGTAACCGAACGTTCTAGAAAATTCTATTGGCTATATAAACGAAAACGGCGGGCCGGCCATCGACAGTTTGAATTCAAAGCGACTACAGTGCGAGAACGAGCGATACACAATACGCAAACACATACCGCGAATTTTTCTGTTTGATTTTCAACGAGCTATCCCGTATCCGTGCGATATCTACGTGTTTATTTTTTTTAAACTCTAAGTTATTTTTTAATCAAACAAGGACTTTTTCGTCTGTAGTGTGACAAACGCGAATATGGTCGGAAAAACAGCAATCGGCATTGATCTGGGAACGACCTACTCCTGCGTGGGAGTGTGGCAAAACGGCAAAGTGGAGATCATCGCCAACGACCAAGGCAACAGGACCACCCCCAGTTATGTGGCGTTCACAGACACCGAACGGTTGATCGGCGACGGTGCCAAAAACCAAGTGGCCATGAACCCGAACAACACGGTGTTCGACGCCAAGAGACTGATCGGCCGGCGTTTCGACGACGAGAAAACCCAGGCGGACATGAAGCACTGGCCTTTCAAGGTGATTAACGATTGCGGCAAACCGAAAATCCAAGTGGAGTTCAAAGGCGAACGCAAGGTGTTCGCTCCGGAGGAGATCAGTTCCATGGTATTGACCAAAATGAAAGAGACCGCCGAAGCTTATTTGGGTAAGAGCGTTACGGACGCGGTGATCACGGTGCCCGCTTATTTCAACGACTCCCAGCGGCAAGCCACAAAGGACGCCGGTATCATCGCCGGCCTGAACGTCATGAGGATAATCAACGAGCCGACGGCGGCCGCTCTGGCTTACGGTCTAGACAAGAACTTGAAGGGAGAACGGAACGTGCTGATTTTCGACTTGGGCGGCGGCACGTTCGACGTGTCAGTGCTGCAAATCGACGAGGGCTCGATATTTGAAGTGAAATCCACCGCCGGAGACACTCATCTGGGAGGCGAAGATTTTGACAACAGACTGGTTTCGCATTTGGCCGAAGAGTTCAAGAGAAAATTCAAGAAGGACGTCAAGAGTAATCCGAGAGCACTGCGACGCCTGAGAACAGCTGCCGAAAGAGCCAAGCGTACACTGTCGTCCAGTTCGGAAGCGACAATCGAAATCGACGCCCTCATGGAAGGTATCGATTTCTACACGAGAGTGTCTCGGGCGAGGTTCGAAGAACTGTGTGCGGATCTATTCAGGTCTACTCTTCAGCCCGTGGAGAAAGCGTTGGCCGACGCTAAACTAGACAAGGGAGCCATACACGACGTGGTGTTGGTCGGTGGATCCACCAGAATACCCAAGATCCAGAACCTGTTACAAAACTACTTCTGCGGTAAGTCTCTTAACCTATCCATCAATCCTGACGAAGCAGTAGCGTACGGCGCCGCCGTTCAGGCCGCCATTCTCGGTGGGGACACCAGCTCTGCGATCCAAGACGTTTTGCTGGTCGACGTCACTCCGCTGTCGTTGGGAATTGAAACGGCTGGTGGCGTTATGACCAAGATCGTGGAGAGGAACAGTACCATTCCGTGCAAGCAGACCCAGACGTTCACTACTTACGCGGACAACCAACCGGCAGTGACCATTCAAGTGTTTGAAGGTGAGAGAGCAATGACCAAAGACAACAACCTATTGGGAACGTTCGACCTGACCGGAATACCTCCGGCGCCCAGAGGGGTGCCAAAAATCGATGTGACTTTCGATTTGGACGCTAATGGTATTCTGAACGTTTCGGCCAAAGACAACAGCTCCGGACGTTCGAAGAACATCGTCATCAAAAACGACAAGGGCCGGTTGTCTCAAGCGGAAATCGATCGTATGCTCAATGAGGCCGAGCAGTACAAAGAAGAAGACGAAAAACAAAGGGTGAAGATCGCCGCTAAGAACCAATTGGAAAGCTACGTTTTTGGCGTTAAACAAGCTTTGGATGACGCCGGAGATAAACTCGGCGAGTCTGAAAAGAACACTGTCAGACAGGAATGCGACTCCGTGATACAGTGGCTGGACAACAATCAGTTGGCTGATAAAGAGGAGTATGAGTACAAACTGAAGGAACTGCAAGGAAAGTGTTCCGCGTTAATGATGAAAATGCACGGCGGACAAGCAGGTGGAGCTCAGATGCCAGGAGCAGGTGGTTTCCCAGGATCTCAGTCTCGAGGGCCAACTGTAGAAGAAGTTGATTAAATTATTGTATGCATGTGAATATTTTGCTTAATATTGTAAAGAAATGACTTAATGATGGCGTAGTTTAATAACTTAATTTATTGTACAATTAACACGCAAGTTCCTATTGTAAAAAAATGGTTTTCTGTAAGTGTAAATATAAAAAAAATGTACCAGATATTGTATTACTATTGTTTGATTTATTAATTAAATAAATAAATACTTATTATTTAGTTAAAAAATGAATATGGAGTTTTTAATAATTATTATGAAAGAATTTCTTGTAGTATTATTATCAAGTTTATTTGGATAGGTACCTACACAATAAAATTGAAATAAAATTGCTGATATAATTTAAGTTTACGTAGGTACACACAATACATACAGGCTATAAACTAATATGCCTGTACTTATAGGTTATAACTTATAAATATTATTGTGTAGTATTGTGTGTACTCTTCCAATTCGTTAAAACGAATTAATGATTAAGCGTATATTAAATTAATAATTTTTTAAGTATGTGCTACAGTATGTTTGATACCTACTACCTAATTTAATTTACTAAAGTATAATTGAAATTGAAAAATAAAGTATTGAAATTACATACACAGACTACAGCTAACATATAATTGCATGTTCATTGGGTGAAAAAAACTGGGTCCAACACATGGCATTTTTATAATAAGTAATACAATTTAGTTGTAACCCACAAGTAAAATCCCAAAATTGTTCAGTATATAGGTAGTTAATTTATTAGCAAACTCTAAAACTGATGTTAAAATATAAGAATAAAAAAAATAAAAATACCCCTATATCTTCGAATAGCTATGACATTATGAACATTTATATAATGAAGAAAAATAAATAAATAATAAAGACAACATTTATCAAAGTAATTTACTAAAAAAAACTAATTTAACTGTAATTAACTCATTTTTTAAATATTTTAAGTATAATTTCGTGTAAACATAACAGTGAACTGTGAAGTTAGGTTGATTGCACTGTGCGTTTATCATGTTTTGTACCCCCCTGGCCCTTATCATTTTTCTGACAACAGCCCATCCTTATTCCTTGGCTATTCAGTAATCAGTATTTACTATTTTCTAAACTTTCACAATTTAATCGTTGATATTCATTACAAAAATTAATTTCGGCATTTTAATTTTTAACTTTTAAGTATTGGTAATTTTGGAATAGTAAATAAACGATTTTTTTAGTGTAAAATGTTTTAAAATTATTCGTTACTTAACAATCAAGCTTTTTTAGCTGGTACCTAGTTTCTAAATTTAACAAAACAATTTAATTTTTGCCTATCCAATATTATACGTCTCACCGAATAATTATTAATTAGGTTCGATCGTCTGTTTTAAAATGGTATGTTTTAATGTAAACTAATTGATAAATATAAAATATAGTATTCAACCAAGAGTTTATTTTCCATGTGGTATTTAATCGCTGTTGAATTATCAACTAAAATTTTTTTTTCATTTCATACAGTCAATAGCAGAATTTTTGGATGGTTTGCCATCCTTTGATGCTCGAAATTTTTCAAGATTTCATTCAGACAACGGAAGGAGTAAGCGAGCACCGGTTTATATATCTACGAAAGATTCACCATCTGATCAAAGTGTGTGCCATTTCAATGTATTCATATATTTAAGACTGTTATAAATACATGTTTTATCAAAGTTTTATTATGTTTTAACTGACAAAATACTGTCGACCTGTCCCGTATAGAAAATTTGTTTAGAAACATCCTTGTCACCCAACAAGCCAGTTTTCGAATTTATGTAATATCATTGTTGATTCAAAAAAGATATTTAGGTCAAAAATATTCCGAAATAGCATGGTTTTACTAGTTATTTTTTTTTTTGTAATTGCTATACTAATAAGTTATACTTTCACTTAAACTACATAAATATCATAACCGACATTAATATCCAGTTTAGCGTCGTTTTAATCATTACAAGTACCCAATAGGGTATCCAAATTTTGCATCTAAATTTAATTATTTTTTCGCTTTTTTTCTTAAATTATACAACAGAAAATAAATAATAATATGTAGCATTAGCAATTTCTTATTTTACATATTTAAAATATGTAAACTTAATAATGTAATAGCATTATAAATTCCCTCAAGTTAGAACTAAGTTTTGTTTTTTTATTAATACCTATGTATATATATATATTTTTTTTTTTTACAGTAATTGTTACAGATAAGTCAAATTTACTCTTACGATACCTACACAATCAGTGGGACAAGAAGGTAAATTTTATATCAGCATAATGTCTTTTTATATTTTGTTAATACAATGTCAAATTATTTAAGTATAATTTTAAACATAATATAATAACTGTGGTGTTTATTTAAAAATGAAACCTATTCATTTGTTAAGTTGTTCGTTCCGGAGCCAATGAAATTTATATTCGTTTCTTCTGCCATCTGTTAAGCGAGTTAAGTACAAAGTTATCAGAAAAAAGTACCAAAAAACATCTATTTTTTCATCAGCAATTTTGACAAGTGTGAACTTATGGGTATAGTGTATGTGTTCAGCAAAATCTAAGCTATAACATCATTAAAATTTCAGCTCAAACTAAGGGGTAGGAAAAAAATGATGTACTGATTTGTGCACAAGTGTCGAAATCCTATTTAAACTTAAACCCTTATGGGACAAGGGTTAAAGATAATAGTTTTTGAATTATTATTTTTTTTATCTTATTTTTATTGTATTTAGAAACTTTTAGGGGGCGTCGAGGTTAAAATTAAAAAATCGACTTTTCAAGGACTAGATTACCTAATGTATATATTTTTTTTCAATTCATTTTATTATTTATTAGTCTACTTATGCAATTATGTTCTCAACAAGTAATTAATATATAATAATAAAAAACCATTTTTTTTGTTTAGCACGGTGGCAAAAAAAGAGAATTAGCCGATAACGCAGAAGAACAGGCTGGCTCGTCTAAAAAGCGTGCAAGAATCGAGTTACCTGCTATGGTCTGAAGTAACATAACAACTGAACTATTATTCATAGAATTCCAACAAATTATATTCACTCATTTATTTGCATTCACATATACTTAATTTAAATATATCTATTTTAATTATCTTCCTTTTTTTTTTTTTAATAACCATAATATAAGTAACAATTGATTGAAATATGTAACATGCTAGTATTTACTCTATATATTTTTGACAACAATTGGAAAATGTGTGTATTTATTTAGTTATAACAAGAAGCATATTATTTTTATTTAATTAAAACATTATTCTGTTAAATCAGTTATTTTGTCTAAATTTTAAACTAATTTGTTGATTTATATGCACGAAACATGTATATTATGATTTAAAATGAATTGGGTCGTTTTTTTTTTTAAATTGAAGCATTGATTTAAATATACAGTTAGTTCACTAGCATAATGAAATACGGTAACCAAATGCACAGTTAATATAGGTTTGCGTCCAAAATTAAATTGCCAAAAAGCAAAGGGCGTGATCATCTTTGTATGTTTAATTTGTTGTTAATGTGTAAAATAGTACCTGTAGGTGTTATTTTAATTTAGATAAATATCAGTTTATATATATATATATATTTTTTTTTTGTTAGTTAAATTATTACAATCTGTTTCGTGAACTGTATGATAAATTGTTTATGTGACATGTATACCATACATATATAATGTGTGTGACATCGTAAAAAGTTGTACATTGGTTATACCTAATATAATAAACTAGTGTGTATTGTAAATAATCATGTGTAACAATAGTCTTGTTCAATTTTACGTCGTACTAAAAATCGCTAGTTATGTATAATATAAAAATATATTTATATTATACTTAGTATTTTTTTCCAATTGCATTTATTATTTTACGTATGTTTACAATAATGTATTTGTTCATTAAAATAGCAAACTATTGAGTAATTTTATTATTTTAATAATAAAACACATTTCATGTAAAAAGAAAAACAATTCAGGATAAATTTTTTTTAATATGCTCAAATACAAAAAAAAAGTTATATATACACAAATAAACAATAATTGTTATACTTAAGTTAGTAGTTAGTAGTTAGCCGCATAAAATATAGAAATACTACCAACCTACTTTAACAATATTTTGTTTTTTTAGCAATTAATAGTTAGAAATTAAAATGTATAAAAAAATATGTGTACATATTTATCAATACGTATGATCTTATAGAAGTAACGCTACTCTTTTTTTTGGTATAAAACCCAGTTACTTTTAAAAAAATTAGCAGTTTAAACTTAAAAGTACATCAGTACAACTAAAACTGCATAGGTCCTCAAAAAAAGTTTATCTTCTGAAATAAGTGTCGGTAAAAATAGCTAAATAACATTATACATTTTAAAAAATGAAATTATATTTGCTATGTTATATTTTTACTGTAATATGATATAAAAACCATAATTATCAACCGTAAAGACTAAAAGGAAATTAACTTTCAAGTAAATTGTAAAATACTTTTCGAATTTTTGTATTTAAATATTTTTTCAAAGAACATGTACATTCGTCGGCCTCATGTCAAAAGTGACTATGTTTTAAAAATAACTTGATGTAAAAACAACTTTTACATCTTAAATTGACAATGTGATATCACCTTACCAAACTCAACTGGGAGTCTAATGTTTGTGGAGTTTTTAAAAGCGAGGAAGATAAGTTGGATATTAAATGAAGAAAATGTTGTAAATATTATGCATAAATAATAGTAATAATAATTTATTGCGGATGCGAAAGCGATGCTAAGACATTGTTATGAAGATCTGTATATTTTCCAAAAAGATTCGGCGCATAGGTGGTTATGGGTCAATTTAATTCACAAGAATAGCGTAACATGCAACAAAGTAATGCATAGGGTCGATTATTTAAACGTGTTTCTTTATTTTTATATTTATATTAATGAATTTAACAAGTTTATGACCCAAATTATTCTATGAACATTTAGTAGAGAGTTATAATTTATTTGTGAAAATCAGAATATTAGACCATGAAGAAAAAAAAAATTAAAAAAAAAAAATTGTATTACATTATAGACAAATATTGGTTGGATAGTCATAAACCATATAAATTTATGGAACCTCTAGAACTTGAGAAAGGATTACCTATCGGATGTGCAGTTTGTAAAATCGAAAATCTTGAATTTATTTGATATTGCTGAAGAGCAACAGGAGGAGTAAAAGCCATTGGAATTATCAATTTATATAGGAAAAGTCTACGATGGTATACCGTCAGATCCTGAATGGGATGTAATAATATGTTTTTAAATTAAATTCATAATTTGCATGTTGCAATACTATATAAAAACTGTAATTATCATTTATCACAACTATACACACGTAAAAATTATGTAGTACAATATAAAATTAGTTTTAATGTACGTATGAAAACTCATAAGAGACATTTACCCAATTATGTATATTTTTCTATTTTAACAATAATTAAAGCAACATCTGAAAATATTTGTGTGGTTGTCTACTATTGCGTTGTTATAAATTAAAATTATTTAAAATAGATTACAGATTACAGATTTGAATTGAGAGATGTCTTCTTACCTACTATGAGCATGATCATACAGCAGTCTCGTAGATTAGTCGAGTAGCTATACCACAGATTGTATGAAAACCCGTTTTAAATTTCTGAAATTTTTATCATAAAATCAGAGACTTAAATCAAATATTTTTGTCTAATAACAAAAAAAAAATAGAAATAAATCTCGGCCCACTCCTGTTATTAGACAAAAAGATTTTATTTAAGTCTCTGATTTTATGATAAAAATTTCAGAAATTTAAAACGGGTCAAAATATATTTTTTTTGAAAAATAACTTTAAAACCCTCTATTTTTGGGGCAAAAATTATTGATGAAAATTTCAAAAAAATAAAAGTCTTACATTAGACCAAAAGAAGTTTAAAAAAAAAAAATTTTAAAAATTTGAGGTCAGGCCGATGACTGCGTGGTTTGACTCAGAATGCCCCATATATATTTACAAATTTTAGCTTTATGTTAAGTTTTATTGAAGAATTGCCTATACAATGCGCCTTAATAAATACTAGTGTAAAGGCCCCTTAAACAGTTTTTGCAGGGATGCGCAAATTTCGTAGTTACGCCACTGGTACTTGACATCGCGGTAATACGATATAAAATTAAGGCGCTAGGTCCAGCCCTGTTTAGCCTAAACACAGGACCTAACCGTATTAGCGCACAGACACTGTGCCTAGTGCCTATGAAAATGTTGGGACTACGAATTTGTTTAAAAATGCTGTGTTTTTTAAATGATTATTATTATAAGATAACACACAGTCTGTGTAGGAATGCGAAGAAATCATTGATACCTGCGGGCGCCCTTGTTTATCGGTATATAGATATTACTATATTATATTTAGCATAATATATAACAAGAAGTTAATAATGTCGTTTGTAATTAAATATGTAAGCAATTATTTATATAATATTCTATATTGTGTACAAGAATATAAAATATAAATACATAGTAGTTACTAGTTTATGATATTTTATAAAAAAAAAAAAGTGCCTAGGGGCTACGATAGTGTTAAACCGAGCCTGCCTGTACGTTAATCTTCTACTATTTACTATACTTGGATGGGTAGCGTCCTCTCGAGATGGATGTAGGTAAATAGTAATATTATTACAATCTGGTGATTAGTACATGGTAAATTAACACATACCTATAATAGGCTGTCCAGTGTAATAATTTTCGTCCACCCAAGTTAAGAGATGTTAATGATTTTTATCAATACAATTTATTGTTTTATTTTTACTCATCATTTTTATTCGGCCGTAGCAAACCGCGTGTACGCTCTGTGAATGACCATTAGGTATACGATATGCACCTTCAGTTCTGTACGGTCGTCGGTCGCGTGCGGTACACATGTGAACGAGAAGCGCGCTCAACATCGCCGTGTGATCCATCGGTGCCCCGGTGCCAATTTACACACACCAAGGTGTAGACATGGATGTAAACGGATGTACTACATTGGTCAATATTAATAATTGTAGTTATCGAAATAATAATAGAAAAATAATCATTGTCGCTGCTCGATCTTCACCGACGGTTTGTGCCAGGCGAATAATTATCCAAAGCTACGACTCGCCGGCGCAGAGTAAACCGAACCGCTGTTGATAATTAGCAAGTGAGTCCCTCTGTTGTTTATTATTTATTAATAATAATATGTTTTAACCAATAAATAGGTACTATGCCTGCAAATCAGTAACACGTCATTATTAAGTCACGACAAACGAGCCCATCGAAAATGGTGTGATGTAAATCTTACTTGTTTTTTTTCCTATCGAAAATTGATATTCAAACGATTATATCCACTTGTGACGGGTTCTAATAACCATGGAGACTTAGAGACTAGAAAGACGATTAGAGTAATTATGCATTCCTTCTACCAAAACGGTACACTTTCCATGTTGTTATTTCAAATAATTTTTGAGATTTAACTATAAATCGTGTGTTCTGTTTTATAGTCACTGGAAATCAAACCATTCGTGTTTGGGTAGGAAGTAGTCGGTTATAACTAATATGTTACCTAATATTAACCTATTAAGTGGAGATGTATAATTTTATTAGGTATCAAAGCTCCTATTTCGAAAAACCCGAATTTTTTTTCTGTTCAATGTACCTAGCTGACATTTAAAAAAAAAGAATAGGTGTTTTAACAAAATATTAATAAACTGTCAAAACTAATAAAATAGAGAGTACACAGGAAGTAATGCATTTTTAAAAATTAAATATTTGCTATTTACAAAAAAAAATAGCAATTTATTCAAAATCATAGCCGGTATGCTATAATACTCATCTCCACAGTATTAAATATGTAGGTAATCAAAACTATATGGGGCCCCTGTAAAAATCCATCAGAGCTTGGTATCTTTGATCACTAGTCGATTTTATATTTTACTGTTGTTTCATCTGTTTGATCGGGATCGCTCTAAATTCGTTACTTAACCTAACCTAATAGGTTTTACAACTTAGCTGATTGGTGTCTTTTCCAATTAATCGATTTTAAATTAAAAAGTATGGACGTGGACGACAGGGTTTAGAAAGATCGCACTTCTATATGAAGAAGGTCAAATTCAAAAGTACCTACTCTGAATATTATAAATAACGTAGGTAAATTTTAAAGTGAAAAGCATAGTTGGTGTCTATGAAATTATGAATGAGTTAAATAAAATATTGATAATCGGTATTATACATAATAATTCAATGGCTTATAATAATAATATGGTTTAAGAATATATTATTATTATATCCGCTTGCCCACACGAATGAAATATTGCTATATTGAACAAGTGCGGGCGTAAACCTACCAGCTGTCTAGTAACTCGTCTATAAATTATAGACCCGATTTGGCGGGAACAACTGTTAATGTGGGGGCGGTAAGTATAGAGATAAATAGCACTTAGGTACCAGTAGCTCTGTAACCACAAGAACTGTATTAATCAAAATCATCATCGGTTATCCAGTCGAATAAACATTATTTACAAACAGTTATAATATTGCACAGTGAAACTAAAAAGTGAATGATCGCTAGTATTTTATCATACCTAATGTTTGAATATCATTGATAGTTTATTCGTAAAATATTCGGTGCTTATTTTTTTGTTGCAAACAGATTATACCCAAGGACAAAACATGTACCTTAATCCGTTTACAATTAAATCGATGAGAATCAGAATTATACGAGTGGTAAAGCCTCTATGTAAATATTATAGGTGTGACCGAACATTTTGTAAATAATACAATTTTTACAAATTTTAACCAACTTAGACGTGATGTTTATAACATTTGACAAGAGAGCAAAATAAAAAAAACTGTAGTTCAAACGTGTTGCATGGATGATGTAGATACAATAGAGTTATACAATTTAATAGAAAAACAATTTTGAAAAAAAAAGGTTTTTTTAAAAATTCAACGGTTGTACCCTTTTGGCGGTGTTCTCATCACTTGAAACGTTGGCCAAAAATAAAATGAAATACAATTTAACTGTGATGGTAAATAAAATTCAATCTGAGATCAAAATAATTATGATTAATAATCGTCTTGTTGTATTCTTTGATATATTTTCGGCTTTTGGGACGTTTTTTTAGAGTTTATGAAACTGAGATTTCATTGGGAAAATTAACCTATAGGAATGTATCTGCTTTTTAATTTTCTCGATTATTTGACAGTACTTAAATGGTTTGTTAATTGTGTGTATAATATAGTCATAGGTGTAGGTATATGAAGATGTATGTGTATGCAATATGCATACCGTTAAACGATGGTAAATGTTGCGCGCGCACGCAAACTGCTAAGAGAGAAAAAAAACCGAATATCGTACAGAGGTTTATTTTATGAACCAAGGCGATATAATATACGTACCTACATCTTATTGTGGGCTCGCCATTCAGGTTATGCGGCCCACGCATCTCGTAGGTTAGGCCAAGAGAAACTCTTGCATATTTAAAAAGAATATAATAATAATAATGCATGCCTACTTCAAATCCGAACCGACAAGAGTTGGCCAATACACATTCAACGCCCACCAGAAAAGTGAAATAAACCTTTGGACGCGTTTGCATATAAATTATGAGACTTACTGGTATCGGTCGCCGTAAGTGTGTGACACTACTATTTTTGTAAAATTATATCCCATTGATTAATAAGCAATAATTGATACCTTTAACCTGATTATTTCTATTCAGCTGTATCGATGACCGATTAATGGAACTTGTCCGAGGGTTGTAATGGAGAATAAGAAATGTATATTATGAACAATAAGTATGGATTTCATTGTGCACTCAACGTGCTTAGGTTTTTTTTAAATGTATGTTTCATGTCAAATTTCAATTTATAACTTCGACGTTAAAAAAATAAAAACTCGAATATTGTCTAATATTTTTCAATAACGTAGACCAAAGTGTCCCAAAAATTAAAAACTACAAAATTGTGATTATTTTAAGAGATAACGAGTGTCTTATGCTCAATGGATTACTAACTGATAATCTTCTCTGATAGCTGATACTGGGTGTAGGTAAATTGAGTTTCCCATATGGAAAATATATTCTTGAACTATAACTTACATATGACAAAGTTCAATAATAAACATATTACTAGACTTGAAGGAACTATGATTTGAATATTTGCCCATTGAATAAGTATAAACTTATAAGATTAAGATAAATACAACTACCTATATATTAAGATTCTAGGTGATTAGATAAGAATTCATTTGAAAAAATGAATTATAAACTAAAAATCAAAAATGTTGACATGACTTTATTAATGTCGGGTTGTATAAACTTTCACTAAACGTTTAATGAACCATTAAATTTATTAATTCTTAATGCAATCCAGCAAAAGTCTATAACTAAGAAACAAAAATTGTTGGGAGACTTTCCAGCCAACCTAAGCGTAGCGTCTCCTGTGTAATGAAAATAGGCTTGAGTATTTAATTTTTATATCTGGGACTCAATTTACCACTTTCTTTTTTATAGGTTGGATCCAATTTACTTAAAAATGATAAAATGGTACCCGATTTACCAAATCCACTGCGGTACTTTTAATATTTACTACTGTAATCAACTGGACTTGTCTATATATTGTATTTTTATGGCGGATATATAGTGCGGATGTGGAGGCGACCGTTGAAGAATTCCCATAACATTCTTTGCCATTACAGTCGGGAGAGGGGGTCTTTTTCAATACCGCCAGACTGTATATCTAATTAATAAAACAAAATGTTATTTTATGAGAAAATTTAAAATCTTTGTTAGTTGTCACGTATTCAGTGTGTGTGTGTGTGTGTGTGTGGTGTGCGTCGATTATTATATATTATGAATTCCGGATGTTGGGGAAGTGCTCAGTGCCTACGCTGTGTTTCTCGTTATGGAATTGTGCGACGTCTGCTGCAGGGGACGGAGGCGAAAATGCGTTTAGGCGCGACAAGTCATTTGAATAGCGGAGGAGGGAGAGGTGTGCCACGTTGTCGTCGGCGGGGTGATCCTATCGTCGACACGGTGCACCATATGGACAATGGATCGCTTATATTATCATCATCTTCGTCGTTATTATAAATATTTAATTACCATTAATAGACGATGAACAATTAATCTATTATATTTGTTACCGAACCGCGAAAATAATAAATGCTCGGATAGTGACTTGAATAGTGGACACTTTTGTTAAAAAAGAAAAAAAAATCGTCAATTGACCCAATTTACTTGTTCAAACTTTATAGTCTCTCTGTTCGCTTTGCAAAAATATAAAAAATTAACAAAATAAAAAAAAAAATAGTGACCAAATGGAACAAATTATCTCAGACTATAGTAATATAGATATATAAATTAATTTGTCTTTCGCCGCGCTAGATGGGTGAAAATCGGCGTTTATGTGAGTAAATAAACAAAGCGCCATACTATAGAAATTTCATGCGCGAGGGAAAGTTTTCATATACTTAAAAAAATAATATTGTAGCGACCGTTTGTTTAGCGAAAACGGTAAGTTGATGAAATCGAGTCGATCGACCGGTCTGCACGCTATGCGTTATATTATAGCCATCGTCTTCTCAAGGTGCATGACTTACCTATATCAATAAATCTAGGACGAACAATTGCTAGTTTTGTTAAAAAATATAAATAGTAAGCCAAATAACCTATCGCATTAAATCAAATTATTAATTATATACAGCTTAAAAAATATACATACTAATACACCTTTACATTCTTTAAATAAAATGTTTAGTTTATTTTGTCTGCTTGTAAATTTCCATAACATTATCTGTGTATCGTACAGGTTTATAATGTGTAGGTACATTGATAAATATGACACAGAAACAACCTTGAATCCGCACGTCCTCTTCAATGGCTCTTATTATTACTTATAATTTTTTTTCTTTGTATTTTATGAATTGGATTTTTATATTCTTTAAATGATACTTGTAAATTTGTAGGTACTAATATGTTTTAAATATAAATAGGTTTTGTATTATGGAAATTTTTATTGGGTTTTTCCGATTTTAAGATCTTTGGACATAATACTAATTTTAATAGCACGAATAATATTATCGTTGAAGTAAAAATACAAGTGCCTTTATTTGAACTTTAGTCTTCAATATTGATAATCGAATTATACAAAAAAACTGAA